ATTTTTAATTAAATGGGGAGGTGCAAAGGCCCTTGAAATTTAAGGGAGTAAGGTTCATCCCTTCATAAAGTTTGTACATTTTTTTAAATTAATTAGAATAACAATTTTTTTTGTTTTGTTAATTAGAAAATAGAAATGAAAAGAGGTAAAAATCAAATTTGACCCTCAAATTGCACCACGGGGGTGCATTGACCCCTACAATTAGGGATAACAATTTCTCATAACAATTTTTTTGTTTTGTTAATTAGAAAATAAAAATGTAAAAGAGGTAAAAACTCAAATTTGACCATCAAATTGCGCTATGGGCGTGCGTAGATCTCTAAAATAACAATTTCTCATAACAATTTTTTTGTTTTGTTAATTAGAAAATAGAAATGGAAAAAAGGTAAAAACTCAAATTTGACCCTCAAATCGCGCTATGGAGATGCGTAAACTCCTAAAATTTGAGGAAATATTATCCAATCCTTCATCGAGTTTGTACGAAAAAAACTTGTTATTCAAATTAGTTTTAAAAAATGTACAAACTCGATGAAGGGGTGGAAAATACTTTCTCAAATTTTAGGGGTCTACGTACCCCCACAGGGCAATTTGAGGGTCAAATTTGAGGTTTTATCTTCTTTTTCCATTTTTATTTTCTAACTAACAAAACTAAAAAACTTCTTATTCAAATTAGTTTCAAAAAATGTACAACTTGATGAAAAGGTGGATAATATTTCCTCAAATTTTAGGGGGCTATGCACCCACATAGCGCAATTTGAGGGTCAGATTTAAGTCGTTACCTTTTTTTCTATTTTCATCTTCCAATTAACAAAACAAAAAAACTTGTTATTCGAATTAATTTCAGAAAATATACAAACTCGATGGAGGGATGGAGAATATTTCCTCAAATTTTAGGGGTGCACCCTCACAGCGTAATTTGAGGGTCAAATTTGAGTTTTCACGTTTTTTCCATTTTCATTTTCTAATTAACAAAACAAAAAAACTTGTTATTCAAATTAGTTTAAAAAAATGTTTAAACTCGAAGAAGAGGTGGAAAATATTCCCTTAAATTTTAGGGGTCTACGCACCCCCATAGCGCGATTTAAGAGTCAAATTTGATTTTTTACCTTTTCTTCCATCTTCATCTTCTAATTAACAAAACAAAAAAATGTTATTCAAATTAGTTTTAAAAAATGTACAAACTCGATGAAGGGTTGCACTATATTTCTTCAAAATTTTAGGGGTCAGCGTATCTCCATAGCGCGATTTGAGGGTCAAATTTGAGTTTTTACCTTTTCTTCCATCTTCATCTTCTATTTAACAAAACAGAAAAATTGTTATCAGAAATTGTTATCTCCAATTTTAGGGTTCTACGCATCCCCATAGTGCGATTTGAGGGTCAAATTTGAGTTTTTACCTTTTTTTTCCATCTTCAACTTCTAATTAACAATACTTGTTATTCAAATTAGTTTTAAAAAATACACAAACTCGGTGTAGGATTGCAAAATATTTCCTCAAATTTTAGGGGTCTACGCACCCCCACAGTGCAATTTCAGGGTCAAATTTGTGTTTTTACCTCTTTTACATTTTTATTTTCTAATTAACAAAACAAAAAAACTTGTTATTTAAATTAGTTTTAAAAAATGTAAAAACTCGATGACGGGCTGGAAAATATTTCCTCAAATTTTAGGGGTCTGCGCACCCCCATAGCTCAATTTGAGGGTCAAATTTAAATTTTTACCTCTTTTACATTTTTATTTCCTAATTAACAAAACAAAAAAAATTGTTATTCTAATTAATTTTAAAAAATGTACAAACTTCATGAAGAGATGAACGTTACTCCCTTAAATTTTAAGCGTCTTTGCACCTCCCCATTTAATTAAAAATTTAAATCTCAAAATTGACGGAACTTGTTTTTGTTCATAGCAAAAAAACTTATGAGTAAAAACAAAAAATATTTGTGTACAAACTCCAGAAATATATGATCCCTATCCCCAATAAATTTCAAAGTCCTCAGATAATTTAAACTATTAGATATGCCTATAAGAATGAGAATCACTGACACTCGAATCTTCTGCCAGCGAATCTTCTCCTAGTTTCAGCTTCATGTTTCTAACTCAATAAATTTTCATATTCTCATATATTCAAATAGAGGATTATGAAGCACGAAGAACGTTCTGTCGTTTTTTAATCAAACAAAATGACAGGGACCCAATTTTCTTGTATAATGTCATATGGACCGACGAATCATGTTTCACCAGGAAAGAAATTTTCAATCAGCACAATTGCCATAATTGGGCTGAAGAAAATCCTAGGGTGGTTCATACTCGGTCCTACCAACACAGGTGGGAACGTTTGAATATGTGGGGACCAATTTTGGGGAATGAAGTTTTCATTCGAGTGGCCCCAGATCCTCTCAATTTGAGCTGAAAGTTAGTGATTATCGATATCTGCGATTGTGACCTCTATTCTTGATTCCCTAGGAAGCAAATACCCTTGAATTCCGTCGACATAATTTGCCAGACATGGTTGAGGACGGACCTACAGGGAGATATATGTAGTTCCAGCAAGATGGGGCTCCTGCTGATAGTACACTGGGAGTAACACAATTCTTGAATAATTCTTTCCCTGATCAGTGGATTGGTAGATGTGGTCCCGTGCGTTGGCCTCCGCGGTAAAATCCCCATCGATTTATCCTGAAAATAACTAATTTTCGTTTTCCTTCACCAACCTCGGCTCCCCATCATTCCCATAGCTCTCCCGACCTGACTCCCATGGATTTTTTTCTCTGGGGTAAACTGAAGAAAGATGTTTACTCTGAACAACCCCAGAATCCTGACGATTTGGTGGCTCGTCTCCATGCAGCAGTTGCTCTTATCACACTGGAAGTAAGAAGAGCCCTGCTTTGTCTTGATCAGGATGGAGAGACATTCGAACAATTTCTGTAGGAAGTCAAAGAAGAAAAAAAGCCTTTATGAGGACCAATATTTGAAAGGGTTCTTCAAAGTCGAATATCCGAACGGCCCTTTTCAGAGCCAAAAATTCCAACGGCCCTTTTCAGGACCAAAAACACCAACGGCCCTTTTCAGGGCCATTAACTTCATTGAAACATTGGTAAATTCATAGCTATATGAATGTCCTCATATTGTCCTTTTCTGTGTGGAAGAGAAAAATTTTCTTGATTGTAGAAAATTTTGTGATTTATCATGATTTTAGGTGATCAAAAGTTTGACGTTCCACCATTTTTAGGGTCAGCAATTTTAAGGGTCACAATCTAAGGGTCAGAAACATGAAGGGTTTGCAAAGGACCCTCATTTTAATAAGGGTAAAAAATTAATGAGGGTCAAAAGTGTCGTTGCAACATATTTTATGGTCAGCAATTTTAAGAGGCAGGAACATAAAGAGTCTGCATGGGACTTTCATCTTATGGGTCAGAAAAAATAAGGGTCAAAAATCCGACGTTTCAACATTTTTAGGGTCAACACTTTCAAGGGTCAAGAACATGAACATGTGGTCTGCAAATGACCTTCATTTTAACGGTCAGAAAAAATGACGGTCAAAAGTTCGACATTCCAATATTTTTAGGGTCAGAAATTTTAAGGGTCAGGAACATGAAGGGTCTGTAAGGCACTTTCATTTCGAGGGTCAGAAAAAATAAGGGTCAAAAGTTTGACGTTTCAACATTTTTAGGGTCAGCAATTTTAAGGGTCACAATCTAAGGATCAGGAACATGAAGGGTCCGCAAAGGACGCTGTGAAGGATACCATTTTAAGGGTAAAAAAAAATAAGTGTCAAAAGTTCATCGTTGCAAAATATTTTAGGGTCAGTCATTTTAAGGATCAGGAACATGGGTCTGCAAAGAACCTCCATCTTAAGGGTCAGAACAAATAAGGGTCAAAAGTGCGACGTTGTAACTTTTTTAGGGTCAACAATTTTAAGGGTTAAAATTTAAGGGTCGAGAAAATGAAGGGTCTGCAGAAGACCCTCATTTTAAGGGTCAGAAAAAATGAGGGTCAAAAGTTCAACGTTCCACCATTTTTAGGGTTACAATGTAAGGGTCATGAACATATGAAGAATCTGCGTAAGACCCTCATTTTGAGGGTCAGAAAATTTCATCTCGCTCTTCAACAAAAAGAGATATGATGTTGCCCTCAATCGGTGGAAAATTCATTGCCGAATCGATAGAGCGCAATATCATCTTTTTATGTCAATCCGAAGATGAGAAAATTCGTCGCGGGAGAGGAGCAAAAATGACAGCCGTGCGGAATTGAGAACCGCTAGTGCTCCCCCTTTTCCGCGCCAACGGCCGCAGAGCGGAGAGCCAGCTGCTGCGCTCACCACTACACCCCACAGCCGACACACTGACACGGGCCTCTCTAACCCTGCCCTCTGATTGGCCAAATTTTATTCATTAATATCTTTTGAATGAAGCTACGGATCGACAAACTTCATTGGACTTTTCGATCTAGAATTCAACACTCAACCCTCCATTTCTGGGAATACCTCCACTTTTGGGACACCCTGTATATGCATACATACACTCTCTAAAAATCTCATATTTGGAATTTTTAGACCATATTTAGTGGCCCTAACACGAAAAATTGGAAACTTAAATTTGAATGATTACAAAGCTTCCATTCGGAAGTAAAAATCATAATTTTCAATCATTTTTTAGGGAATATCGTCTACAAAAAAAATCTACTGACACCTCATCATGAAAGCTTACTATTCTCACTCAACTTTATTATTTCCCTCCCAGGATTATCTTGAAAGAAAATTCGTTAAATAACTTCAAAAAAAAATTCTATTATTCATATTTATAAATTGAAATTCTTCAAATTAAATGGCTGTTCAAAGAATTTATAATTTAAAAAGCCATCCGCCAATTTATCCTCAACATCAATGACGACAGATATGGCAAAAAAAAATTGACACTCATTGCTTTGTAAAAACATATAAAAATGCTTTATCAATCTCCAAAAAACTTTAATTAAGGAACTATATTAAAAGTTTGATCTCACAGTTCTGGCAACCCTCACAACGAGGCCCGTGCATCCAGCATGTAAGCCAATGTTGACAAGATGATATCCCCGAGGATTGAGCCCACCGAGAAGATGATTCAGTCGAAATGTCGCAACGCAGAGGGGCCGGTAACTCCCGTGTGACTCGCTGTCACGTAATGGTGTGCCCCAAAAATCATTCTCCAACAGTGGAAACCATGGGGAGTTTGGGAGTAGATCGGGATTCGTTAGAATCGCTCGTCTGAAAGGTTAAAAGCCCAAAAAAAGTTCAACGCTCAGTGGATTCAAACAATAGACTGCAAACAATTCGTCAAAGTATAAATATTTGTCGAAAAACTCTGGGAAAAATTGGAACGAATGAAAAAGTGGAAATTTAGGAGAATATGTTTTTTGTGGAGGATAAAATTCTAGATAAAAAATATTTTATAACATTTTTGCTTGTGTTATGTCAATGGTGACTGAATTCCAAGGAAATTTAAGCATATTAAAATTAAAAAATGTCACCGACATAAACTGTACTTCATAAGAAGTGAATTTGTATGAATATAATAGGATTTAAAATGATGACTCGATGGAATATAAAATGGAGAGACAAGGTTAATGGAAATAAATTGATTAAACTCAAAATTCAAGTTCACGTGACTTTTACAAGTCTATATTTAACAGAACAAAAGAAAAGGTTTCTGATACAAAATAAAATGGTTCAAAAACTTACAACCAATGTAAAATGTAATCCAAATGCAAGCTCACTACACTAGTGCCGCATTAAAAAGATTTTTAACCAATTAAATTTAAATTATTTTCACAGAATAAAATTGGGACACGAAAGACTCAATTGAAAAAAAAGTGAATCGAACACTTAAATAAAAAAATTAACAAGAAAAGCGTTTTAACTTGACCCTTGCTTTCATTATTGAAAAGAACCTGAATATTTAAGTGTCAACTGACACGAACAAGTTACAATGAAGAACTGATTTGAAAACTACTCTGCAAATAGTTGTACTTACGAGTCCTGAGGGTGTGCCCTCAGGATACATGGAGGGAAAATTCGGGGACCAATGGCATCTGACCTTGGCCCGGAATTTCCCACTTCGAAGACTCTGGTCCCAATGCTTCAGGGTTAAACTCCATCCCTTCCACATGAGGATGTGTAGGCGGACTTTTCTATCCCCAGCGACCAATGAGATTATTTCGAGAAATCCTAATTTTCCTTCCACATCCTCAATTTATTGAAATAATTATTTTCATACATTTCTTGAATTATTGAAGTGAAAATATAACGCAATTTTTCCTTGACGTCTAATTAAATCATGACGTGTTTATATTCTACATCGATCAGATCTTATTGTTTCACTGATTTATTCCAGCCTTTTTTTTGGGGAATTAAATTTTTTCAAAGAATGTTTTTTTTTCATTTCATTTACTCTTGGGATATTCAAGAATTAAAATAACAGATAAGAATTTTATATTTGATCTGATTTACATTTCATTCACTAATTATTGACGTCTAAGAGAAAAAAAAGTTATTGAAGTACTTCAATGATGAGTTGTGTTAAAGGAGAAAAATTAAAATATTCACAAAAAATGTTCTCTCTCTGTTCCCTATAGGAATTCAAGTATTCAGTGATTCTTCAATTCATCTCTGGAACTATTGGTTTGGCAAAATGGACCAAAAAAAATGAAAAATTAAATTCTCGGCAAAAACTATCCAATGACATTTCCTTTAAAATCCACGATTTTTGTTATAATTTTTTGTCAGAAGGGATTAAAAGTCAGTCATTCATTCCAAAAAAATCTTCTATTAGAATTGAATACTCCATCTCTATGTTCGCAATAAAGCTTTATTACATGTTAATAAATTCATTGTCTTCGCTATCTAAAAAATGTGTATAGACAATTCCCCAGAAAGCCCTTCAGTCAATGAACACAATGTTTCCGATTTTTTTCAATTTTTGATGTTTTGATACCGCAGTGAATATGTCACTGTGAAAAATTTCAGCCCTCTAACTCGATGATTGACCAAGATCTATACCATTTCGTGATTTACGCTTTCAATTTTTCAATCCTTTTTACACTTAGAAATATCTCGGCTATTCCATTCGGAGTTTGTGGTTGTTTGACCCTTGACATTATCCAAGAACCGGCCTTCGTGGGTTAACCCTCGTAAGTTATAGTGACTGTGGCGTTTGACCCTCGCGTGGTATGACCGTTACGACCTATTAACCTCGCGAAATATCATAAAATATCTCCATTTCACAGTATGCCAATGAACGGCGCCCAATAGGTTTCTGACATATGGAAAAAGTGGAAAGTTCCATGCAATTTACCTAGTTTATGACAGGTCAAAAATCATGTAATTTACCCGAGATACTTTTCCAACCGTGCTAGTATCACAGGACATCATTCTTTCTTTAAGTTTCATTTTTTTATGACGTTAATACTATTGAGAGCGCATTTTTTAAATATAGTTATTTTGTTTAAAAAACTCATCTTTTCCATAAAAAAATAAAAACTGCAAAAAAGTTTGGAGAATCAACATTCTCCAAACTTTGAAAATGAGCGATTTTAATCTTAAAATCACTTCATCTGCCAGAAAGAATTAAAAAATCATTATTATTATTTTTATCTTGAAAAGCTGAAAATTTTTTACTAAAAAAATATATTGAACGTTTTTTTTTATATGAAACATATTTCTAAGGGCAAAAAGGATTGAAAAATTAAAAGGATACACTGAGAGAAAAACGACAAAGTTCTCAAACAAGTCTTACTTGTGCCAAGAATACATCAGTGTGTCGGAATGGAAAATTTTTGCTGCAAAAATAAATTTAGTAGTTAAAAAAAAATTGCATTCTCTGTACACGCAAGAAATGTCATTTCTAGCACTACTCCTTCGTTATTCGATACTTCCATACGTATTTTGCTCCCGAAAAATCTTTACTTTATGCGGAACAAGGGATAGTAGTTTTTCGCTTCGGCTGTCTAATAATCACAGACAAGAAATGAACCCTTAAATGAAACAATAATAATGATATGATAGCGATCTTGTAACTTAGCGATAAAATATTTGTTGATAAATTTTCCTCTATATGAGATATTTTCATCCTGAAAAGGCATCGTCTGGTGTGAATTATCCACCTCTTGAGCCAAATATTTCGTTGCTGTCGAAAGCAGAACAATTATTCATGTTTGAGACTTTCAAATTAGAACCAAACAAATTCTTTTTTGGCAATTTTCAACTAGCGATTTTGTCGGCCCTAACAAGACGTGTTTGACAACGTATTTGTTTTTCTCTCAGTGTGAATCACGAAATGGCATGGATCTCGGCCAATCATCGAGTTAGGTGGCTGAAATTTTACACAGGGTCATATTCACTCAAGTACTAGAACATGAAGAATTGAAAAAAATCTGAAACGTGGCGCTACATAACTGAATGGCTTTCCGTGGAATTGCCCATACCGATGTTGATTTTTCCGTATAACTTATTCCACTGACATTGTTTCTATGAGAAGTTTTAGACAAGACTTTTTTACGTCGTTTTCCATGGATTTTAACATCAGAAACAAATAAAAATTCAACAGAAAAAAACTTGTGAAATTTATCTAAAAAATGTTTATAAAAGAATAAAAATCTATTGATTTTTTTTCATCAAATATCTCTTAACAAAATGTTAATAAAATGCCATCAGAACTTCAATACAATTTTTATAGACTTCCAATAGACAATCAATAAATTTCTTAAAGAAAGTACTAGGTATTTCTCTGAAATGTTTTCATACGTCCCCAATTATTTCCAAAACTTTCCGACAAAAAACGGGAAAATCCATAAAAAATGGAGATAATCAATTTTGAAAAAAATTTTTCACTTAGAAAATCACAAAATAAAATTCTCCATCCATAAATTAATTGAATTACCTGTCATCATAGACGAACCCAGCATAAAAGGTCTTATAATACAGCACAGTAGCAATAAGTGTGCAGAATATAGCTAGGACATCCATGTCACATTGCGGATTCGATTTCATCCAAGTTGGCGTCAGTTCTCTTCCCTAACTTGTTGCATACACACGTACACTATTTCAAACGGTTAGCTCTCCCCCAAGGGGGATGCCGAGTAGGTGGGGTGCGAGGGGTTGCTTTTCTTCCCTTCTTCTTTCCGCTTTTCTACTCCAGCAATGGCGGCGTTTCCACTATCAAATCGACTACTCCATCAGTCATAAAAAAAGAGTCGGAAAAAGACCTCCATAACTCCCTATTCCCCAGAATTTCCAATCACCACCTTTTTTTTATCGAAAAATGAAAAATGAAAAAAAAAGTCGTCTGAATTCCCTCAATTCACATTTCAATTCCTTAGTTATTTAACTCAATTTCGTGGTCATTTTGATTTTTTGTTGATGGATTTTTCGTCCTCTTTGTCCCTTCCATGAGTCCCCGTTCAATATTCCCACAACTGCTCCATCATTCGTCACTCCATTCCACACGTTGGAGGTAAAAAAATTGCCTCTGAAAGCACTTTACTAAAGTAGAAACAAAATTATTTCAGATCTCGTGGAGAGATTAAAGGGGGTAAAAAACCGATGTGCGAGAGTGCCCAACACTTTATCTGTTACATTATCACTGCACACTTGGGGGGAAAAGAACTTTTTTCATGCTTCACTTTGGTGGAAATTATTGGGGTGGATAATTGATGGTTTTTCAAATGCTAATGAATTGCGACATTTTCCCCACCATTCTATGCATAAAATTCAAAATTTATCTGCAATTTAAAACGGTAAACTGGAGCAAAATTAAATTGCAGTGCAATTAAAATGATGAAAATTGTCTCATCAACGAAATTAAATTGGAAAAATATCACTGTGAAATGAATTATCCATCAACGTTAATGGAATTTCAAATTAGTAGATTGAAACGTTGGATCAACAATAGAAGAATCCCGAGAAACTAGCAGATAAAACCATAAAAAGTGGTAATCCCCGCCGAAATCCCTTCAGTCAATTCTACATGATAAAAACCGAGTTATCAATATGAACCCTCGGAAGCCGTCTATGCCAGCCTCCCTCATTAATAAAAATTCCCGATTCTCCCTCCAATCCCCCCTGAACTCCACATCGCGAATGAAAATTTTTGCAACGACAAAGGTCATGTCCCTCCCATTAGTAAAAGAAGAAACGTATAATCCCTGAATAATTTCACATTATACTGTTATTCGGTGACATCAGAATGCAGTCTGTGCATCCAAAAATACTGTTGGACCATCTGGTAATCCGCCCCAACTCTCACCCCTGTTTCCCTAAAAACCGGAATTCCATTACTGTAACACGCAACCCGAAAACCAAAAATTCTTCACATTTCAAAAGCCCTATTTTTCCCTCAGAATCCATTCTCCACCCCCCCAAATTTTCTCCTGAAAACTAAAACAAAAAAATCAAAATTAAAAAACTTTTTGTACTTCAAATTTTTAAACATTAAAAACAAACAAGTTCCAAAAATTAAAAAGAAATAACCAGTTTTTAAATTGCGGAAGTTCAACATAAAATACTGCATGTGAAATCCCTCCGCACACAACACAAAATAAAAAAAAATAAGACTTCACAATTCACAAAAAAATGTCGCAAAACATTTCCTAGAATAATAAGTTAAAAAAAGGATTATAAAAAAATTAATCACATTATCGTATACCAACAGTCACTGGTGAACTGGTCGTGCGCCCCCCGAGAGTGTTAGCTTTATACAGCGGTAGTGGAAGGCATCGATCCTGTCGAGCGCTTGCGCCCGGGCCATTTCCACTCAAACCTATCCTTTTTCCCTTTCCACTTTAGAGTCTACCATAGGGTGGTTGTATATACCTACACACGACTATCGGCCACAGCCGCACCGATGCAAACGGAAGGGGGGGGGGGGGTGTTAGGCGGTGGGGTAGGCGGATGAAAAAGGACGAGAGAAGGGCCATTGTACGTAAACATCCTGGTCCAGAGTGTTGAGCCCAACTTCATCCCTTTCTCTGTCATTCTCTCATTCTCATGTACCTCCATCTCCTTCTGATAATTTTTTTCCTCTCGATGTGGGGAGCGATATATGTGTCTCATGTTATTGGTGTTGCTGTGATCATAGATTAAGATAACGGGCTAATGTCGTCGACAAAAACGAGAACGGAAAAGTCAAACGTGCGGTGAAAGGGGGAGGGGGCGGGAGAGTACGCCGTGGAAACAAGAAGAGAAGGGAAAAACAATTTTGAGGGTTTTTTCCTCGCCGCGGGCTGTTTTTCCCTCGTGAGTCTCGTGACTGTTGTGGGCGAAAGTTTTATGATACGAATGCGATTACTGCATTTGATGCCACTCCTGATTCAATTAAGATAGGGCATTTTTCGTGGTTTATGGGTTATTAAAGATGGTGGATAAGGGGGAGGGGCGGGATAATGAGACAAGCACTTGGCTGGATTTTTTGGGTTTGTTTGGGGCAGGGAGATTAAGGATGGGGGTTTGAGATGATTATCTAGATTTTTTTTTCGGGGTGGGCGGTGATAATGGAGCTTGAGGTGATTGTTTCCTGCTTTGAATTCATTCTGATCCGAGAATTGACGGGGCGTGAATTTGCTCATGGGAGGGGAGTTTTGAATTTTATCTTTTTACTTTGTAGATTATCTCGCTGTTTTATAGATAAAGAAGCTTTTGAATGGATTTTTTCGGATTTGGGTGGTGGGCGGAATAGGATTTTCAAATAGTTATCTAGATGGTTATCTTAAGGAAGGAATGAAATTGAACGTAATTGTTTTCTACTTTCAATTGATTCTGATGTGAGAATTGAGCAAAATTAATATTGGAAATTTCGACATTTTCTTATGGAATATTGGATCAAGTGGAGTGAGATGATGTTGATATTCCAACATTATTATTTTTCTGATCTGTTAACCATCTGATACTCTCAGTTATTTGGTATCATCCATTGACTTTATCTATATCATTTTCTTTTTAGATAATTGTCTTCTTTGAATTATTCTCCTTCAGATAATGGTAATTTCTATTTGTGACTCCAGATCAAAATCAAAAGTCTTATCATTGTTTGTGTCATCAGTAATTAGATTGAGATAATATCTATATTTTCATAGCATCTCCTGCTTCATTATTATTGATGAATCAATTGAGTAATCTCCATATGGTTGATTTAAACGGAATCAATTCTGATTAGCTATTAGATTCGCCTTTTTCGTTAGATTATCCTAATGCGTGGCATTTCCTATCAAGACAACGTTAGCATCTCAGATATGATAATTTGGAAATCATCTTAATCGGCGAATCTTCAGTGAATCAATATTTTCTTTTCTTGCCTTGAAATATCTAACCAATTCTAAATCCACTAGAAATTAAATCTGATTAATTACAAAATTAATTTTTACTGCAAGAATGAAGATCACATCAATATATCATTCAAGATAATTCCGAGATCACAATGATCGTTGGATTACCACTGAATCAAAAATTTTTTACTCTCATTCTGCATTTCGAATGGCTTTCGAAAGGCAGCATAAGCGGGGATTTTTAAAGTTCCGGCGGGTGAATCACACGGTTAACGGGGACTTATAGACAGGAAAATACCGAAGAAAGGGATGAAGTAGGAGAGAAGAAAGGGAACTAGAGCTTTCACGCTGCGGAAGGGGTGACGTTAGAGTTCAGATGTTTTGTAAAGGGCTAAATGTGGAAATTGTGTTGAGTTTGTTGTCAAGGAGACATTCCGAATAATTCGCCAATTTCTGAAGGGCTAGCGAATTCAGACAATGGCTCGTGATACACCGATGGGAAATTTCAGTTCATTCATATTCAAGTGACTATGGCGACACATCCTACGTCCGGAAATTTAAATTTTTCAAGTCATGAAATGGCAGGAGGATCGGCTGTAAGTTCGATTATTTTTATCGTCAATCATTGCAGATTGATTTCCGGGGATATTGACATGGGGATTAGATCTAATGACGAAAAGTGAAGATGACATGATTTTATGGAACATTTAAAAATGAGAAATTTTGGAGAATTGACATTTTACTTTATATGTCTGAATTTATAATTTGGGATATATAATCATTTTTAATTTTAATTTAAGGGGAGACTACTATGAGTTTTAAAAGTCGTGGGTTATTGGAGTGAGACTTTTCATACGTTGAAGATTGATTATATAGATCTGAAAACGAATAATTAGTGCAAAAAAAATTTGTTTGTTGTTCGTTTGCCAGAAAACGCTTAAAATGCCAAAAACAGTCCAGAGCCTCCAATTTTTGCGCTACGAAGGATTTTTTTTTCAAAATTTTCAGATCTATATAATCGATCCTCAACGTATGAAAAGTCTCACTCCAATAACCCACGACTTTTAAAACTCATAGTAGTCTCCCCTTAAAGGATATCCAAGTACTTTGGCCATGTTTTTTCATTTGAGTCCCATTTGGCTCTAAGTTTCCGGACATTTTATACCGATTTTATTATTTAAAATTTGCAAATATGAATTTGAATCTTGATATTGAACCGTTAGAAAGCATTTTAAAAATCTGAAAAAAAAATTAGAAAGTTTACTTTTGGAGAAGCATTGATGGAATAATTTAAACGTTGTAAGTTTTTCAAAATTACGATCATTTTTTATGAATAAATTAAAAACACTCAACTTTTCACCATAAAAATCATTTGTTTGAAATCGTAACAAATTGATTCATACTCAGAATATTTTTCATTTCATTTCATTTATTTCTGCAAATTAATACATGGTATTATATATGCAGGGGAATTCCTGCTACATCATCATAAAGTGCATTGAAAATACAAACAATAAAAAGTAAAAATAAAATAACGTGCAGCATGGCAACTGGTGGATCCGATACTAATGAAGCCAAATTAGAAACAGAGAAAGGCAAGATCCAAGACAGAGCCCAGAAGAATGATCAATAATTCAATACTTGCTGAGATAAAGATAAAAATAAAAATAAAACATAAAAAGAAGAGCCAAGAATTAACTGTCAAGGTACATCCAGACTAGGATGGCTGATAATAAATAAGAACTAAAAATTCAACTTTTTTAGAGTTGAAACAAATAGTCCAGAGAACTATGAGGCTGTGTGATTTTTTTTCCCGATTTTTTAATCCAATTTTGCAGTAGCGCATGGCATTTCCAGTTTGACTAAAATATCTGACCTACTGGCAGTCAATGGCTATAAAACTTAGGTAAAAGTTAAATATCCTTGATTACGGTCCGGTGCTAGGTTGTAAAAATGACAGAGGATGGTTCTTCGGATCTGTTCAGGTATAATACAGGACTAGTATAGGTTCGTCCCTGTTGCTCCCATAGCGAGGAGGTCGGAAATACATGTGTTTTCTGGGGAGCAATAGAAACCCACCTATACGACTACCCTGTGCGACGCAGTCCCTGTCACACAGAACACTGTGCTCCATAAATATTAATAATAATAACACGATATCTATGAGTCGTGGAAACATGAATCGGAAACATTATTCTTCATCAGAATATTTAATGCTGCAGGTCTCATCAACTTTTTAGTAGTTCTCAATATATTTTGGGCGGTATAAAAATGATTATTTATTGTTCATCTGTTTCCCGAAGCCTAAAGATGTAAAATCGGTCCAGTATACCTAATTTTCAAGCTATGGATTTTTTTTTCAATGTATAGAATAACAATTACATTCCACTTTTTGCTAATTCGATTCCAAAATGTCTTGATTGATTTTTCCCTTAATGAAAAATTATACTAGTCTCACGAAAAACTATGAAAAATCATTCCTCAAAGAATTTTCAGAACTTTTTTAGTTTTTCCATTTTTATAAAAAAAATTTATTCTGTCAAAAATTCATTAATTATTGCATTTCAAAATCAATTAGGCTTTGTTGGAGTCGAATTTACAAAAAGTTGATTGTAATTGTTATCCGACAAAAAAATTGATGGAAAAAAATCCGTAGCTCCAAAATTGGTTATACTGGACTGATTTTCCAATTTCAAACGTCTGGGGGACAAATCAACTTATTTCTCGGATTAACAATTTTTTACACGAATTTTTCGTTTCTACGAATGGACTTTCTCCTCTGTGGAAATGGTCATTTAAATATCCTGGGACTTTTGAAGCTCACAGGGTCTCCCCTTAATGGCAGGGCAACTTAAAGTCTAAAATATGTCCTCAGGGTGGAAGATTTTCAAATTTCTGTTGGCGTATTTACTTCTAAAATGAATCTCCGTATTTTGGCATTTACCTGTCGCAGTCATTTACCTATCACTCTGATACCTGTGACTCAGGGGTCACCAATAAACTGGATTTCCAATGATGCCCACTGGCTCAAACTCGGGGATTGTCTTCATAAAGGACCTCACAAATGACTTCGCTTTCAAGTGTTGCGATCTCTGGGTTATGGAATGGGCGAAAATCAGTGACAGAAGGTGACCCCAAAGACTGTCCTAACCGTGACCAATTACAACGGGTAGAAACCGGGAGAAAGGATGGGATCGGATTGCATCGGATAACGCACTTAGGTGCCTTATGGTGGATTGCGCGAGAGTCAAAAATGGAGATCACGTAAAGAAAAAGAACCCCCTCTAATGCCATAAAGAAATGTTTTTATTAGTGATAAAAAAGAGGCTGTCTACAATGATCCCAAGATAAAACCTCGGAGAAGAGAATTTTGGAGAATTAGAATTGAAAGGA